GTGTCGTGCCAGGTCGGGTTTCTAATTCTTATATTGAATAAAAATAGTTTTTGGTATATTTTTTGTAACTAATTAACATACTCCGATTGGAATGTATCGAAATATTGCTCTATCTTTTGGTAACTTATTAACATATTTTAATTACGATTATTTTAACTTATGATATTTATTAGCATGATTTTTATAATTTATTGAAATGAATAATCAATCAATAAAATGAAAATTTAATATTTTTTAATTTTTTATAATATATTACTATATGTAAGTTGTAAAACAAACTAAAATAAAGCAAAAAAACAAAAAGGGCAATTCTATCATTTTACATTACTGAAATCAAATTCATCTGACATGTCTGCGAACTAAACAAAATATGGAATTGGATTCCAATTCCATTTCCTGCCAACCAAACAGAATATGGAATTGGATTCCAATTCCTGACAGATTCCAATTCCCTCATAAACATTCCAACGAACCAAATGCCACCTTAGAGTTTGTATAACTCACGAAGATGTAGTTAGGGCTAAATGTAATATGTATTGCTTATATTATAAAGATGATTTTTATTTTTATTGTCATTCTTCTATTTATAATGATCATCAAATCATTTAGATTATTGTTTTTTTTGTCATTTCATTTCCATTATGTGAATTAAATTAAGAGAAAGTAAGTGTTTCCTAACCAAAATATAACAAATTAGCAGTTCCACATTTACGTGTAGGGATGGGTATGGGAATGGTCAGGTCAGGTTTTTGGTCGACCCGACTCGAGAATAAAGGATCCTCCACCCGAGACCTGACCCGACCCGACATATAACTTAGAAATTCGACTCGAAATAATAATAAAATATTATTTTTATTCAATAAAAACAACGACTTAATTGAAAAAATATATAGGGTATTATTGTAATTATTCCTAAATATAAGATAACATTATATATTTTTTCGGGTCGGGTCGAGTATTTTTCACCCTAAACCTGAACTCGACCCGAATATCACACTTAAAAAAATTCGACCCGACCCAATTTTTTTTAAAAAACCCGACTTGATTGGGTCGGGGTCGGGTTCGGGTCCCATGTTGGTCCTATTTATGTGAAATATGTGGAATAACCCTCTTAGGCCTTTTTTTATTTATATTCATTGGGTTGTAAGGTTAGTATAATTTTCTTCATTGAAGTCGGTAAAAGTTTGAGACTTGGGATGGGTGAGATCGAGGATTTGAGGGTTGGGATGATCAATAAGGGTTTAAATCAGGATTTATGATTATTTTTCTTATTTTAAATCTTACATGATATAAAATATTGTCGAATAAAACTATATTATAAAAAAGTATTAGTAAAATAGATCATATTGTCGTACTTTTTATGATTTAATGATAAAGTATCAAAAACGTAAGTAATTCAAAATTTTAATAAATAAATTAGAAAAATAACTTAAATAACCAAAATATGAATAAAATAAATTCAATGATGAAATTTATAATTTACTCTTCATTTTTAAGTGGAAAAATTATTATAGAAACTATTAGTAAGATACAGATCCTATCAAAAATATTAAATCAGTAATCACATCAAATTTGATGGGATAATGTAGTGAAAAATAAGATATTTGTAATTTACCCTTTATTTTTAATTGAAAAAATTATTACAGAAACTATTAGTAAGGTATAGATCCAATCAAGAATATTTTTTTGATGAAATAAAGATGTATGATTGCACCTAGTGTGCTACTGCCACATTACAATCAAAAGAATCTTGTTGTATTAAACTAAGTACGTCTGGCGGTGGAGCGTAGAAAACTGTCTGAACATCGCCTCTTGTTGTGAGTGCTTACAAATTTACGTGAAAATATATACAAGTATACACAACTGAACAAGTAATATAGAGTGAGTGAGTATCGTCTCCACAAAGATTAAAGGAGATTACTAGTTAAGTCAAAGCAACAAACTACTTTATGCAAGTATAACTGATGGTATGCACAAATGGCTATGTCAAGGCAAAATGAAATGCGTATAGATGGGGTAGAAATGGTAGTGTGAATGGATGGCAAATGAGAATGTCGTGGCAAAAGTAATTGTTTAGAGTGCAGTCAAATGAAAATGCTAAGGTAAAATAGATTGATAACTTGAGAATTAAATAATATGACTTGATAATCCCCACACAACAAGCTATTACGGGAATGAATGATGGGTCACTTAGGAATCTTAAGTTTTATCTTTTATGATGGTCTAAACTTCTATGTCTTACTTGCTTGGCAGAGTTCACTATGAGTATCCTTACGCTATCTCTAGTCATGGGATTTGAAAGATAAGAATGCCACAACAAATCCTCTCGGTTTGATGCAACAACATCTAACCTATCGATTCAACACTACTCATTTTAGTCGTTGAAATCCTAACCTCATCTCTGACGGTAGATTAGGCTTTAGTTATCAGCTAAAACCCATTGCTTATGTCGATCTTCCTTTAGTTTCTCTCGAACGCTAAAGATCATTAACTTGATTCTCTCGAACACTAAGTAGTATATTTAAGAAAATGCTACCCTCATAACTCCTACAATCTTAAGTAATTAAAAAAATAAGCAAAACAAATAATAAACATATAAATATCAACCATCAATTAAACAAAAATACTTAGTCATCCACGATAAACCCCACCAAATAAAGTTAGTTCATGGTGGGGTTCGTATAATCCATGAGAATTATATGTTCCTCATAGCCCATAAAATATGAATAAAAATAAAGCATAAGGGTGGAGGAAAAACTCCCAACGCGCACTGTCGGAGCTCCCTCAGCCACCACGAACCACCTTAGCGGTACTAGCTCATCTCGAACGCCTAGCTCGCCACTCCCTCAAGCTTGAAAATTAAGGAACACCATGAAAGGGATGAGAAAAAGAAAGAAAGTTGGAAGCTTTGTTGTTGCCTCCCTTATCTTGTTTAGCTCATTTATACCAAGGGAATATACTTAGGGTTTTGTGTCAAAATAACAATGGTACCCTAAGGTACATCCCTTACACGTGAAAAGAGAGTACAAAGATGATAGTGGTCCCCTCTTAGGTGGCAGGCAACAGAAATCAAATGATGGCTAGACAACTGACTCTTTTATAAAAATAACTTCATCTCTTTTTTGTATTTTTTTTGCCCAGAAATGCCATTCTAGCTGTCGCGACATTTTCATTCTGCTTCAGCATCTCAGTTTGCCACGACAATTCTTCTCGCACACCCTTTGCTTTTTCACTTGCACATCATCAACCAGACACAACCTTTCCCGTAAAGCAATACTAAAACGTCACAACAAATTGAATCCACCACATGCAATTACATAATCTTAAATGCATCTATATGATCCTAAATATACCTTAAGACAATCAATAATTTAAATAAAAAGATATTGAATATAACATTTTTACGGAGTTATCAGATAATATAGTGAAAAATAAGATAATTTAGATAAGATTTTAAGATTCTATTTGTATTTGTTAAAATGTTATTTAGAAGACGAGAAAATATTTAACGTATTTCGAAATAATCGAATATATATTGTATTTTTAGTGATAAACACATAAAATATGATATCTCCCTCATGTTATATATAATCTAGTGAATTGTGCAACTCAAAAGTAATTGGATCGTCCAATCATATTTCTAAATACACAATATACTTTATATATCTTTCTAGTATCAAATATCATATTTGAAAATGAAAAAAAATTCATCATTACATTTGAATCATCTTTTTTTTTCACTGCACTATCTAAAATATTTTACTAATGGAATAGTAACTATTTAAAATTAAAATATGATTCTATCTTACCTGATTAACACAAATTTTACATATTTTTTTTATAAAAATAGAAAATTAAGTGAATGAGAAAATAATTTATTTAATTTAATAAATATATATTTATAAAAACTTAACTAATGATAAATAAATACATAAAAAATATTGTTCATAATTAGTATGGAAAATTGAATCAAAACCTGACTTTAAAAAAATGATCCTATTAAATTCGACTTGTTCGTTGAATACATATTTTTTATCATCCCTGTTTAAAAAGTATTTTTGAATAAAAATTACAGTTTTAACTTTCATTATTCTATGGTGTATTATTTTAAAATTTTTAAATTTAAAATATTTTATTAAATATAATTATATCACTGATGAATTATTTACGGATATAATTTTTTTTATAAAAACAATAACATATATTTTTAATTTTTTATAACTATTTAAATGTATTTAATTAATTAATTAATTTAAATATATTATTAAAAGAAATTTATCTTTATTCATTTATGTTTATACTACTGATTTTGTTATTTAAGTCTCTATTCTTTAACTCAAATGAGTGACAATAATCAACTTATCTAAATGGTTAAAAGAATCGTTGTTGTTCCTAGAGGTCACATGTTCGAGCAGCAACGGTTGCAGTAGGGGTGATTGGACGTTTATTGTCAAATAATTTAGAGTATTTAGAACAAATACTACTTGTGCGTTCATTATCAAATGGTTGAAAGTATTTAGAACAATTGTCATATTTGTAATCACTTACCTTAATAAAAATATATATATATATATATATATTCTGACCTTTTAGAAAAAAAAAACATAAATAATTTATATTTATTATATTTAAAAAAAAAAGTAAAATGGGTAAAAGCATATGTGTTATATTATCGTATAAAAACAATTTTTTTGACAAATCTATGATGGATATAAAGTATTATAAAATAATTAAAAAATTTAATTACTGAAGTCATTTATCAGTATATTAAAAAATAATAAATTATTAATATAATTAATAAAAATCAATCTTATTATTAAAAACACATTTTTTAAAAATTTAAAATTTAAAAATAATTAAATTATTCATGAGATGCGATCTATTTTTTTTAAATCTAAACCAGGCCCAATGGGCCAACAATTGACATCTAACACGTGCTTTGGATTAAATCCGCAGAAACACAAATAAAAACATCTGATCTCGTTAATTTTGACTCTTAATTTAAACTCTGGCTAGAAACCAGAAAGCACTAGTGAATCAGAATCCGATTGCATCAAACAAGAAGAGAATAGCGGTAACCCGGCAGCTAAACCGGCCGACTGTTAACCGCTTTCTTCTCCTCAATTTTGCTTTAGGGGTTGAGGTCCCCAACGCCTTGGCGGAAACACAACAAAGCAGAAGCTGGTCAAACTGTCTTTGCAAATTGGATGGGTAAATTAAAGTCCGATTCTCCCCTCTCTCGTCGCATCGTTCGATCCTTTTTAGATTTCCTCGACTCAGGTATTATATCTCTTTATCTATCTCTTATCACGTTTGATTATTTTTACTAATTTTTGCTCATTCAATTAGGTTAACTTATTATAGTTTGTCACTGATTTCTTCTCTTCTTTTTGCAATATCTTAAATGAATTTTATTTTGCATTGTTCTTTATTTCTATATGATGAAAAAGCGGATTTAGCTCATTTGCTGATTGATTTCGGATTCTGCAAAGCGCGATTACTTAATTCTTCTGGAAACTTGGGGGTTGCAACTGTAAAATCTGTGTTGAATTAAAGTTTTCTTGGTTACTTGGAATTTTATAGGGTTAGAAAGAAAAGAGGTGTGTGAATAATTGAGTTTTGTCGTTCGACAATTCAGTGTAGACAGAAATGAATAGTGTGATTATGTGATTGTTACATTTCAATAAAATTAGAGAGTGCGACATTATATCATAGAATCCTACAATTGGAGAAGACATAGAATTTGATTGATCTTTAAATTGTTAGGCAAAATAAGGTGGTGTGAACATGCAAAACATTTTCTTAAGAGCTGCAACCTCGTTGGTTTGTTTTGTGTGCATCCTTTTTAAGATTGACAGTGGGAGGATACTTTTGCAGTGCATGACTGATATTCTGTTTGATAAATGGAAAATTTTAATATCATTTGATATCATCAAATTTTACTTGTTTCTTGCACCCTCTAATTCTATATAGTTTACCTTTTTCTTTCATCTCATTTATTTTATTGTTCTTTTTTGGGTGGGGTTCATGTTTCTAGATCTTCATATTGTTTAGATTGTCAGTTACTATTACTAATTCCTGTAGACCCAATAATTTTTTTTACTTCCTGTGTTCTCTGTAGCTTAAGCCTCTTCCACCAATTTCATTGTCATATACTTTTTAATTTACTGTGTTTTCTCTTCTTGTTAAATAATTTTATAATAATAGTCCTGTTTCTGTAAATAGTTGAACCTGCCCCGGGGGTTGATCTCGAAGGCCTTGAAGTTGCTAGGGAATGTTTAGTGGAAGTATTTAAACTCAACTCAGCTTCTATAAATGATGCAAAACCTGATGTATTAATTGACATATTCAGTTCTTTGGATGCAAGTGAGGATAAGAAAGTTAAATCAGAGATGAGTCACAGGGGGGCTTCTGATAATGTTACTGCTTCACCTTCTACCCATGAGTTTGTAAGTGCTAATTCCTGGGTGGCATGAAAACTGGTATTTTATGATAACTCGTTTTTCTTGTAAAATTTATTTAAAGTATATTTTGGCTTTGGAATCTAATTGAGGCATGATGTTTGTCCTCTAAAATTTAATATGGAAAATTTTCTCTACGGATGGTTCTCTTTTCTAGTTTCCTTATCATTAAATGGATGCTGTTTGGTATCCTGTTTCTGTCTGGGACATTTCTTCTCTTGTAGCAATTATTTTGTTTCTTTTCATGCATTTGGACAGCATGTTTTCTCTAGTTCTTTCTAATTGTTTGGTGTCTTGGTTTTGATGAATTAGGGGGATAGTTGGACTAAAGAACCTCAATCTACAGGTATGCCATGATATCTTTCTAATAATTTCATATTTTGGAGTTTTAATAATTGGATTGAGATCTGTCACATTTATGTTATCTATTTCAATGCTTTTAGGTTATACAAAATAAGTCTAATTTGACACTAGTGTAACTTGCAGGAGTCTCTAAGGACGAACTCTTTGGGCAATTCTTCGCTGCACTAGAGAAAATTCAGTTTCTTAAAGCCATGCCCGATGGGAATGATGATCCTGCTCAACTGGATAAAGCTACTCATTTGTTTGAAGATGCTGTAAATGTATTTTTCCTCTGGTGTATATTAAACCTGTCACACTAGATGTATGGTTAGTTAGCACTGGTTTACGGTTAGTGTTACTTAAATTAATTGTTACCATGTGAAGGTTCTTTTTGAGATATCTTCATATTTGCCCCATGGATTTAGGATAAGTGCTAGATTTCTTCATAGCGTATCCATGCTTTGATTATATCATTGCACCCAGAAAGCAGTCTAGCTGAATTACCTGATTTAGGTCACACAAGAAGATTTTCTGGTCCTCATTTTTAGTACGAAAGGTCAGAAGGAATACACTCTAATGCTGAATCAAATAGCTGAATCAGGGGTAAGGTATTGAACAATAAAATTTCCTGTCTATCCTTGTAGAAAGTTAACAGAAATTAGAGTGTAGGGAATTCTGTAAAGGGGTCTTTCATGAATAAATTACTGGTTTCCAAGGATAGCCAAGTAGATGGAGTGTAATGGTCAACAATGTTTAACCAGGGCATGGATTTATTTATCAGTAATGATCTTTGTCGTAAATGAGTTATCATAGTATGAAAATCTGTTGCGATTCCTTCTGATTATTTAGTTAAAACCAATCATGTTAAGCTTAATCATTGACCTCGCAGAACTATATGAGCAAACTCTTATAACTTATTTCTTAACATTTGACATCTCGGGCAAGAGCAGACAACATCTTCTTTATTTCCTCCTCTGAATTAAAGTAACACGTTCCTTTACAAACTGGCCATCCTCTGAAGTCTTACACTTACAAACTCCAGCTTCTGCTATCTCTTATATTGAGAAACATACAAATGCATTTGTATTATCATCATACGGATACATGGTTCATGAAACTGAAAGAGTGAAATCCCAATTCTAGATTGAAGCTCCTGAAATAAGCATCCTTGATCAAGTTGCTTGTAATATTTGGATGGAGAGGTAGGTCAGTAGGCCAGCCTTAAAATTATGGTATGGACTGATTGGACTGGAGAACTAAGGTAGTTAACAGTTACAGGTTGCAAGATTAGTCGGTTGCATGGCGTCCGACTGAATTTTGGCATTTGTAATCTCTGTGGTTTTGCTGTGTAGGAATGTGATTATGAGGAAGGGTATTAATGTTGTTTGGATTCTCAGTATCTTTTCTTTTTAGTGCATTGAACTAGTTAGGAAGTTTGGATCCTACAGTTATACAAGCTTCATGTTGCTTTCACATCATTAAATCAAGACTGTTTGGGACTTGATCTTCATTATATACTCGTTTAGTTTAGATAATTTCTTGCAACTTATGGCTAGTCTCACATTTTACTTTTACTCTCTAAAGATATCTGTTAGCATCTGTAACGAGCCTTTATTAATATCTTAATTCTTCCACATTAGGAGATGGAAAGATCTGGTTGTCGGGCATTTGACCGTAAAAACCTGGCTGACACATTCAAATGTCAAGGTAATAAAAAATTGTGTGCTGTTTTGTTTTGTTGACAATGAGCGTTTTAAATTTGTAACCTTTATTTTATGGGATCATTGTTTGGAGGGATGGAGAAAGTTTAGTTCTTTTCTTTCTTTGTCTAATATGTGTATAGTTTTGTTCTTCTCTCTCTTTGTCTAATTTGTGTGTGCTTTATCTGTTGATGAAATAGATGCTGTAGAAGCAGACCCTAGCAGATTAGCCCACTCGAATTCCAATTCATCCAACACAATTTTTTTACTTGGTGACTTAATCACTATATATCCTTGTTGAATAAAATGTTGAAAACATGAACCTGAAAGACTTGTCAAACCTACCAAGCCAATATTGAAACAGGTCCTTCCTAAATTGACACCAAATGAACCAAACCTAAAGTCACCTAGGAATCCAACACCTGAATTTTTTTTAATAATAACTATTGCTGGAGAAGCGTAAATATGCTGACCATAAATGTTGTTTTGGTTGCATAATTTTATAAATATCTTGCAGTGTTTATTCTCTTTAAAAGCTGCTCTAAATTTATAGTCTTTGCTTTCAGGTAACAGGGCCATGCAATCAAAGCTATACTCTGATGCAATAGAGTTTTATTCTATTGCTGTTTCTCTTTGCGATGATAATGCAGTTTATTATTGTAATCGGTACAGAAATAATTTGCGCAAGCTGATAATTTGATATTTATATCTGTTCAATGTACCATTTTTATATTTTTCGAGCTAGGTGTTAAATACATGTGTTTATGTAGGGAATGGAAGGGAAAAGAAATATAATGAATTCAATGATGTATATTTTGGGAAATAATATTAGACCTATCGTGGTTAATTTTTCTTGCCAAAAGATGGAAGATCATTATCCTGCTATGCCACATTGTTCTTGCACTATTAGGTTATACTGTTGGTTTCATTGATTTGAACACTGTAAAAATGCCTTTGACTTCTAGGAATAGTAAACTTTTTTTTCTATTCATTATGTCTCAATGATATTAGGATTTAGAAATTTGGTTCTTGTTAATCTTTGGGTAACTTTTAGATATGGTGCATATTTCTTGTTTTTGATTGCAGAAACAGATTGTAAAACAGCAGTTGACTGGATTTTGATGCCATTTTCTGCCCCTACTTTTTTCAATACTTTAGTTGGGGAAATTGGGGCCTTAATTTCTGCTAGGGGTATTATTGTTAGATGGATTCCTAGGACATGCAATTGGGAGGCTGATAAGCTAGCTAAAGAGGGTATTGGTTGATGTTTGAGCTTTATGGTTGTTTTGGTTTGTATTATATTTCAGACAGTTTATTTAGTAAGCTGTAATCTTATGTAATCATGGTTTATTAATATAATGAGGTACCCTTTTCCTCCTTCCGCTAGTTGCCTCTTTCACAAGAGCCAACTAAGAGGGAGGTTTTTAATGAGACCTCCTATTCCTATCAAATTTTTTTTTTGATATTTTCATGCATCTTCGTGTTACTGTAATGTCTAATTGAACCGTGATGTATGTTTCCCAGGGCTGCTGCTTACACTCAAATTCACATGCATAATGAAGCTATTAGAGACTGTCTTAAATCCATTGAAATTGATCCGAATTACAGCAAGGCATACAGTCGTCTTGGTTTAGCATATTATGCTCAAGGCAACTATGCTGATGCAATTGAGAAAGGGTTTAAGAAAGGTTGGTGAGAAATTATTTCTGAACTATACATGATTACTGTTATGAACGTATCCAAATATATGATATCATTTCTAAGCATTTAGCTCTTAGTGTGGATTGACTTATTACATTCACATTTTAAGATAGCTTCCTCATTTCCTTAAAGTCCTTTTATTTTCTTTCCCCATATCAATAACAGATTTGATGGTTACCAATTCTTTATGTTGTCAAACATGGTAGTTTCTAATCTTTTTTTTCTCTCTTTCATCTGAATCGTACAGCCTTGCAACTGAATCCAAGCAATGAATCTGTGAAAGAAAATATTAAGGTAGGTTTCAGTGTTCCTTTTCTTACTTTGATATTGTGATCTTGACATTCTGGTTTTGATATACAGGTAGCTGAGCAGAAATTGAAAGATGAGCAGCAAAGGGCAGAAAGGGATCAGGTAATATGAACTATCAGTTGCTTGTAATAACTCGCAATAATAGCCATTATCAGTTTACCACCTGACAATTTGACACTAAAAGACTGGATATGACTTTCTCAAGCCCCTTGATTATGGGACCACATTTTGTTTACTCGGTTACTCAATAAATTTTGCTTGAAGGAATGTTATTTTGAAATTATTTATTGTGTTTCTGCATATTAATATCCCTTCCCTTTCTGAATAAGTCATATTGGGGTTTTCTTTGAAATGTCTCATTTTCTTTCCATCTTTTAATACACGTCTTGCAGGGTGCTAGTTCCAGTCGAAATAATCAAGGATCTAATAACCAATCAACTGGATCAAGGAGTCATAGTGGATCATCTCCATTTACAATGCCTTTCGACCCTAGTTCCCTTCCGACAGACATTGCGAGCATGCTCATGAATATGGCTGCAAGTGCATATCAGGGACAACCATCTCAAAACAGACAAGGTGAAGACGTCAACATGAATGGATCGGAAGAACCCGGACTAAGAATAGGTGGGAACATCAGCATGAATTTGGGTGAGCAAATGCAAATACCAGAAGAGTTAAGTGGTGCTTTCAGATCAGTGATGGATATGTTCTCAGGGACACCACCGCATGGAAACAACCAGGACAGAAATGGAGGATCAGGTTCAAACTAAACTACTACACAAACATGTACACCATTGTTTTCAACTTCTAATGGCCCGTGCTATCGGTTTTAACAATTTGGCAAGTTACGAAGGGTACTCTTCGTAGTTTAGACAAAATATAATGAACCTTTTTAGTTATTGTAGAAAGTAGAGATAGCAAATCACTGATTTTGTAATTCGTTGCAAAAGGATTGAACTATTCAGGTTCTTGCTGGGTTATCGAGTGTTTCTTTATTTTCGATTGTGGGTTGTAGTCCGTCACTGCTCATGCCAAGGGCTACTACATAACCTATCCAAATCTATATAGTTGGGATTTACGTACTGCAATTGTGCTTGTGTAATATCGTTCGCTAGGTGCTGTTTTTGAAAGTGTGCTAGGGTCGTCTCTACACCAAGTCATGGCTATTGATTCACTCGAGCCGACTGTTCCATCTTCCTTGCATTTTGAGTGGATAAGATTGGTTGGAGCTTTGCAAGGATCGTGCTGAGCTCTCGCGTTTGTGGTGTAGCAGTGGGATCTATCTGGTTCGGAGTTAAGAGGGGTTATGCACTTCTTTCTCAGGCATTTATTCTGTGATTTCAGCGTGATGGTCTGTGGACTGTGTTGTAGTTTACTTTCGACGCCAATAGTACCGACACTTGTATGGTGTACTCTTTTCCTTAACTTTGGGTTAGAGAGTTTTTTTTAACGATGCTCATGTTTTTGTCATGTTTTGTATATATGTTCGTTACATAATACAAAACACCTCTTTTAAAAAAATATATTAATATAGGCTCGGGTAAATTACACCATTAATCATCTAACTATTATGACTTCCTATTTTGTTTTTCATTTTTTAAATATAATTATCACCAATTTTGTATTTTTTTTGTAATTGATCGTTAACTTTTGACTTGAGTATACAAAAAGTGTTTAATTTATGTCTGTTTTTTTAGTTTATTATATAATATTTATTTTATTTTATTTTAGTGTATAATGTTTCATTCTGTATTTCAAAGTGAGTTAAGCTGTGATAGACCGTGAAATTTGATTATTAATCTATTAAAAATAACATCTGACATTTTTTAATATTGAAATAAGGCAAACCTATCACCTGTATTGTCTACCCTTTGCTCCTTCATTGGGTGACGAAGGTGGCGTGTGAACATCACATCCCAACAGTTGTCCTTTGTATTCAACCCGCCACGGTGTTCGACGTCTACTACCTTTACATTAATGGATATGAATCTACATAAAAGCCCAAGCTAATGACTCCTATCCAAATCCAAGTGTTGGATAAAATTAGCAGGGCTGTTCCACTCTCCGGCCACAACGTTCCCTCTTTTTTCAACGCTTTGAACGCTTGCCATAAGGCACTGTCGATGTTCCAAGAGCAAATGGAAGTTCTGGCCGAAAAACCCAAAGCTAGAATCCTCGTTAAAACCTTCGATGCTTTGGAACCGGAAGCATTAAACGCCGTTGAAAAGTTCAAAATGATCTCCGTTGGACCCTTAATCCAATCATCTTTGGATAGTTCACTAAGAGCCGACATTTTCCAGTGCAACTCAAACGATTATCTCCAATGGCTAAACTCGAAACCAAAATCAAGTGTCGTTTATGTATCATTCGGGAGCATCGCCGTTTTAGAAGGCAACAAATGGAGGAAATCGCTCAAGCTTTGATAGCCGTTTTAGCAAGGCAACAAATAGAGGAAATCGCTCGAGCTTTGATATCCAGTGGGTGGCCATTTTTGTGGGTGGTGAGAAACCAGAAAGCTAGAGGAGAAGAAGAAACCGAACAAGATAAACTGAGTTGCACAGAAGAATTAGAGAAGTTCGGGATGATAGTCCCATGGTGTTCACAAGTGGAAGTTTTGTCCCATCCATCGTTAAATTGCTTCTTGACTCATTGCGGGTGGAGCTCGACGTTGGAGAGCTTGGTCGCCGACGGTGGTGTTCCCTCTGTTCCGATCAAGCGACGAATGCGAAGCTCAGTGAAGATGTGTGGGGGACGGGGGTTTATTTTAGTTAATTTCTTATTTTTAGAAATTATTTTTTAATATTAAAAAATATGTCGGTGATATTTTTAATAATTTAACTGTCAAACTTAACAGTTTGTCATGTCTTGATCTATTTTAAGTCATGGAATGAAATGTTAAGCATCAAATTTAAATGAAATAAACGCTAGACATTAAACTAGAAAAACGAGCATATATTATACACCCTTTGCATACTTATGCCTTAACTTTTTGTTAAAATCTAACGAAAGTGATATTTATATATTATATTAGTTTGATCATAATTTAAAATAATTTAATAAATTAAACTCATTGAATAATCTTAATAGTAAAAGAGAATGTTGTTCTTCTTAAGAATTGAGTTCGAACAGTTGTATCAGTAGGAATGTGTTCATCGTCAATTAGTTAAAAAAATTGTGTACATTCTTTCTTTTTAAGATTAGAATTTAGGATTTAGGGTTTATAATTAAAATTTAAGATTTTAAGTTTAAGGTTTGGAATTTATTGCGTAGGGTTTGGAGTTTGAATTTTTGAGTTTTTGGGTTTTGGTGTTAAAAAGATATTATTTTATCCTCAGATAAAAATATATGTTTATGAGTTATAAATTTTAATTAAATCTAAATTATTTATTTAAATTTAATAATTATAAATTAATGTAAAACTTATTAATTTTACCTATTATAGGTGAAACATATACTATGTACAAAATTATTTTGTAATTATCTCCAACAACTTAATTTTTTTAATAAATTTAACTTTCAATATTTAATCTTTTTTATTTTTTTATAACCACCAATATATTTAATCTATTAATCAACTAATCGGGATCAAATACTTTACAGGCAAGAGCGACATTTCCAACCCAGTTTACTCTATTCGTAATCATCATGATTTAAATCCTTACCTTGCTTAAAGGATTTAGTGTTTCATCTCACTAGAGTAACTGATTGTTTGTATTTAATTTTTTTTTTATCAATTTAGTTCATTTCAGAGTGTTCTCTGTTCACTCTTGATTTAGGCAAAATCATTGCCCGCCATCATTGGTGACGTTGTCTTTAGCCATTAAGTTCCAAAATCACCAAATGAAATAAAATCATTAATAGTCATTAAATTCCAAATTTTCTGCATGAAAGAAAAGTAACAGTTTATGCATCACAAGATTGCCTTAATTTTTCTGTGCTGAAAAAAAAACTAGGAATCAAAGTCTTGTGCAATTTTGAACAATGATTTAAATAGTGTTTGCGGCTGCGTCGTGTTTATCACGGACATAACATATGTCATTGTGGTCACTGTAGGTGTCACGGTCGTGAATTTTTTAAAATTCACTCAACTTATTCTAAAATATAATAATTATAGTTATAATGTTAAAGAGTCGTTATTATTTAAAAGAAATAAGACTATCAGCATAGAAAAAACTCTAAAAAATTAAAATAGATAAAAATAAATTACCCATTATGTGTAACACCCCCAACCCGTATCCGACCCGGATACGAGTCCGAAGTGTCACATTGACTTTTCAAACATTTATTCGTATAAAATAGTGAGTAATTTAAAAAATTTTATAACATTTAACTCATTCAAAACGTTTATAAAATATATCAGAGTTCATACAATTTATATCTTTAGACTACATGCCAACTACACTCTATATACAGTACATATATTTTCTGATCTGACATTTGGTAAGGAGAACTGACCTGTCTTGCTCCGCATTACTCTTTACTCTTCTCGAAACCTACGTGTGAAACAATCACACGCTAAGTCGTTGACTTAGTGAGGCATATAAAACATATAATATTTCATATAACATAAAGCATACATAAACATATACCATCATTATCATAATCTCTACATTATCATTAAGAAACACACAAAACATCATATGGTTCATGTAACACATTTCAAACCATTTACCTTTGTTAACCATTTATAAACTCATCGTATACATATCACATTCAGTATGTTTGTTTAATCTCTTTATTAGCTCATGTACACTAGTGAGAACTTAAGGTATGTGAGTACATTGAGGTTGTGCACACATATGCTGTTACCACAGCTCGATCAATGTCCCGAAGGACCTATCCAGAGGTCACAAGGAACCTCGGTAACTATCCAGAGGTCATAAAGATCCTCGGCAACTGTCCATTGGTCCCGAAGAACCTAGGTATACTGTCCATATGTTCCTTAGAACATAGGTATACTATCCATATGTCCCGAAAGACATAGGTAATTATGTCCATATGTTCCGTAGAACATAGGTAAACCCTCAACTCTTGGCATGCCAACTATACCACTAGCTCTCATATTACATAACATGGGCATTATCATTATGAATACATTTCTCATCACTTGTTCTTTCTCTTCTGTCACATACCACATGTATGTGTAACCATGTATTTCATATCATATATCTTATAATAGATTCTTTTATCATCATTTGTTTCCTTCCTACCTATTCACAATCACACTAACATGTAATGCAAGCAAGATGTATTAATACATACATGTAATCACATAACTTATATCATATCATTTCTCTTATAAACACATATCTCTTCTTTTCTGTCACGTATCACATATACATGTAATCATTGATCTTATAATCCCATGTTCCTTCTCTTCTGTCACATACCCTATGTATGTGTAAACATATATCTCATAAACATATATTTATGAATCTCATATCGTATCACATATTCACATAAACATGTAATCCACTTTCACATATCACTTAACATATTTTCTAATATGATCACATAACTCATATTATCTATCTCATGTCATGTTCTCATGTATTTACTTAATTCAGTTTCACATAGCTTGTCATATAGGCATGTATTCTCCTATATTATAATTTCATATAGTTCAATATCACATATCACATATACATGTAATCATGTACTCATACACACATAAGCATCATATCATTCACAAATCAAATAACATTTTAGGAGTCACTTCTTACCATAGTAACTCCATCACTGGCTCATCACAAGCCAATGTTTATTTGATAACATAAGTATAATTAAATTGCACTCACCTTGGTCTCACTAGTCAATTCCAATCTCTTATCTTT